ATATATATATATATATATATATATATATAATTTAGGTACGTCTGCGAAATTTTATCGAAGTGTACATAAAATACTGTATTTGTTTTTTTGTATTTTGTGCTTTCCATTGATTTTATTATTGGGGTGTTTGGGTGGAGATAATGAAATAATGTCGAAACACAATTTAGAATAAGCGTTTGGCCTCATTATGGTAATTGGCTTCAAGCCGGAAGGTATAATAAAGTCACCTGTAAATATTTTTGGGGGTCTATAAATAAGGCAATATAATAGTTCTTAGTAGACGCTACTACCAAACATATTTTTCCTTATATTGAAGCCGTTAACGTGTGATGGATTTGAAATTTCTACCATACAATGTAAATATCTGTTTTCTTTCAATTTTTATTAAAATTAAAGAAATAAAAATATTGTATTGAAAATATTTCATTGAAAAATTTTTATATGAGAATGACAATCGCAGTGTAGAATAATGACGCCGCTGTATATGAAACTGACATTGATTCGGGCCAAACTCTGATCAGGTTTGCTTAAATGAATAATCATTGTTTTTAGGTAATACATTCATGCGATTTTCATGTAGACTTATTGTGAGATTTCTCTATGTTTCGCCATGATTAAAAAAAAATAAACACGATCATCATGAATACTGAAACACATTAACATCTCGCGCGCGCGCACACACAAACAAACGTAAAACGAACACACACGCACACACACACACACACACACACAAATATATATATATATATATATATATATATATATATATATATAATTTTTTTATTAAAAAAATATGATTCCAAAAAACATACATAAGATGTCTAAAAATGTTTCAAAACAAGAGCATGAAAAACTTCAATAAAATTATTTAAATTAAATTAGGTTAAAAATAAGCTCTGTTCCATCTTCAAGCGAAATTTCATTTTTGGAAAAACAAAATACACTTTTTTTATTTATATTTGTATTGTTTTGAATCATTTTTTTTAAATAAATTCTTTAAAAATTATATTTAAGTTTCAACTTTTGTATCGAGCACTATTTCGATAAAAAAATAACTGAAATACTAGGGCACTTTGGATTATTTAATTAAACCAGTTCCTTCCTATATTCTATATATTTTCACACACACACACACACACACACACACACACACACACACACACACACATATATATATATATATATATATATATATATATATATATATATATATATATATATATATATATATATATATATATGGTAATTTAGGCAGCAATTATGCGTCCAAACAAGTTTGCTTAAAAATAACTGACAACATATGTGTATATAATTCCTTATTATATTTTTGCTATTTTTGGATGATGTATTAAGTAGTGTGTTCAATGTTGAGGACAAACTCTCCTAAGATAATGTTTTATTTTGTTCACTTACTTTCGACTACCGCTTTCAATATTGGGATTACAATGATATAAGTGATATAATAGATAGATAGATAGATAGATAGATAGATAGATAACGACCCCACGCAGTCAAACCGATAAACTAATGTTATGATTTTTACTGAAGGGCTAATTTGTGTAAATGCTAAAAAGTAATACTTGAATTTTCAGTTGAATTTTGATCTAACCCCTTTTCATTCTAAACATTTTCTCAGATCTATCTATCTATCTATCTATCTATCTATCTATCTATCTATCTATCTGACCTTCGCCTCTCTATACATACCTATAGTAGTATTCACAAATTTTCTGGTATGACAAATTATTTAAAAAGGAACATATGCCAAAAAAAAATATACATATTTTTATTCTAAAAATTACTTCAATAAAACTCAATTGTTATCATTTTCTGGAAGCAAAATTGCTGGAATTATAATTTTTTCTTACCCAACATGCTGTATACTAACATGTGATTCGTTATAGAAATGTCAAATTGTATTTTATTTTAAACGTATGTACTGTTGAAGTTTTCGTTGTTTTATTTTCTCTTTATGACAGAAGAAATGATAAATTAAATTTTCCCACCGAAACGAATGATTCTATATAAAGCAATGAATTTTTTAACTTTTTCTCTTATTTACTCAAAGAAAATTAACTGGGAATCTGAACCTAAAGAAAATTTCGTTTATAAAAAAAATGTTATTTTCATAATCATTAGCATGCATTATATTAAAGGGTAATTCTAAAAAAATATAATGATGCAAAACACATGATAGAATAACGATATAAATAATAAACTGAGACGATTGTTTAATTGAAGTCTGTAAGCAAAATATGTTCGATAAAACAAATTATGTGCATCAGTAATAACACATTTTGGAAATTGAAAGTATAAACTTGTTTGAAAATTTTATATAGAATTAATTTGCACAATCTGAATGAAATAGAATATTTTAAATAAGCAGTGGCAAATCATGAATGCATCTATTACAACGGAAAATTGTATAGAAGTGAAGATATAAGGGGATATAAACACTTAGTCGAAACATCAATGAAGAATATGATTTTGTCAAAAGTATTATGAATGCTTTCACTGAAAATACCACGAAATGGAAAAGGAATGAATGTCCATTTATTTGGACAATTTTTCGATATTTTTATTATTATTATTATTAGTAGTAGTAGTAGTAGTAGGAAGAGGAGGAGGAGAAGTAGTAGTAGTACTTCACCCTTATTATTAGTGTTACTGTTAATAATGATAATAATAATTAATAACATTTATATTAATAATAATATTAATAATAATAATAATAATAATAATAATAATAATAGGTATTCGCCCAAACATAATAATCAAAGACCAGAAAAAAACAGAATCGGTTGTCTTATTGACATGACAATTCTTGCAGACTTCCATGTATCTTTGAAGATCTTAAAAAAAAAAACTATCAAAATACAAGACACGTGAATGGAAATACGAAAAACATTGCACATGAAGACATCAATAATTCCAGTTTTAGTTGGTGCCTTTGGTTTGCTTGGAAACTGTTCCGATAGAAATATCCTCAATCGGTGACCGTCTGTACAGCCTGCGAAAACTTGAGTGAAGTTATTTCTAATTGAGTCTAACTTTCAAATCTGTTTTCTGCGGTTATCAAAAACCTGCATCCATATTGCATAAAATTGGGTATGGAATATGCGCTTGGTATATCATTAGTAGACTGGGTGCCATGTTGCTTATATTATTCTCGCTATAAATGTACTTCATCGTCACTTTCAGGTGTGCTCTCCCTCCCTCGCTCCACCATAGTCATTTCTTCACTCACTCACTCACTCACTCACTCACTCACTCACTCACTCACTCACTCACTCAATCACTTACTCACTCACTACTACTACTACTACTACTACAACTACAACTACTAATGCATTAACGTACGAAGAAATAGGAACAGAAGAAGAAATATTATTCCATAAAACCCTTACAAATAACTAAGAATATTTGTGAAGGTTTTTGTGCGGTGTACGAGTCTCTCTCTCTCTCTCTCTCTCTCTCTCTCTCTCTCTCTCTCTCTCTCTGTGTGTGTGTGTGTGTATGTGTCGGCGAAATTTTTAGAACGAGATTTGATTGTCTCATTAGTTTGCTTTTATACGGCTTATCACACCATTGTGTGTTATTTAAAGGCGAGGCGTACTTTTGATAGTATGATTTTTTTACGATTGATTATTTCATTAACAATTTTTTGAGACCAACGATGTTCTCAGTTATAAGTCATACTATTTAACTTATAGTTGGGGGAGAAAAGATAGATTCACATCTTTCTCAAGGGTAGTTTTTCGTATGTGAATGTAAAGACCCCAACTGGAATTCGAATTTAGCACTAAGCTTTCTTATTCTGATCGGCTATTCATAGACCAATCGTGCGTTCTTTTAGAACTGGCAAGTCAATAATAATATAGTTCCAACTTTAAATTAACTGAACTAGCTAAAAATAGAAAAAAATATTTGCATAAAAACTTTAACCAATTTTTAGACGTTGAAGTATAACGTTTTTTTTTTTTCCCTATCGCCGTACTTAAGCAACGTCACTACTTGGATGGCTACTTGCTTCATACTATGTGCAGTAGGAAATGCAACAGGCCTAACAAGTTGGCGATGGAGAGAATATAGTGATTTATACTAACAAACACGCGGAGGTGCTTCTGCAGTGAAAAGGCGCACGAAGTACCTGGAATTAGGTGAGTGGTTAGATAGTATACACCATAGTCCTAATAAGTAAAATGTAAAATAATTTTATAGTCTAGACAAAGACTTCCAGAAGCACAACCGATAGATGCAACACTAGAAGAAAAGAGTTCCTCCAGTTTTATATATAACTACGCGGGCAGCTATTTTAAAACCAATGAACCTTCAGTAGATTGAATGGGCATTGGGAAACATTTCCTTGAGAAGTCAATTTTCTATAGTCAAATAAAAAAAAAATAACTAAAGAATTACATTCAGCATATTTATACAGCAGTAACTGTTTTATACTTTCTGTATTTAGTACATTCACTTTCCTCGATTATGTAGATACATTAAAATATTTCAAATTAATATTGATATGCCATAATGCGGTCTGGATAAACAGGAAACATTCTATATCGACGCTAGTGAGAAGTCAGTTCTACGACATTTAACTGCATACAATATACGGATAGTTAATAGTTGGTTGCAGGGATAAAATACATGTCTTCTGAAATTACATCCATTTTTTTGCTTTGTGTTTATAATATGCCTTGCGTTCGCTTCAGAAGGAAAGGATATAAGATTTATGGCGCTGGGTCCCAATCGATAATGCATTGTACTTTTTCCTAAGCATTTCAAGACCTAGGATTTTAAATACATTTTTCTTTCAAGGCATGGATATTGTATTTTTTAATCTAAAAATGGTATCATATACATATTCAGTTGTTCGACAACCAAAATCTTCCAGCAATAATATTTTACTGTATTATTAGAATTACATTTATAGACTTTAGTTATTAACAATATCATTTGTATATACATTTATTTATAATTTATCATATATTCTATATAATTATTATACAGTATATTATATATATTATATTATACTATACAATATATTATATTATACTATATTATATATAATATATATTACATATATATTATTCATTATATATATTGTATATGATATATATTATATATTATATATGTATTATATATATCATGCATTATATATATTGTATGATATATATATATATGTATTATATATATTATATTATATATATTATTTATATATTTTTATTATATTTATATATTAAGTATATTAAATTTTACTATATTATATATACTATATTATATTTATAATACATATATATATATTATATTTATTATATATATTTATCATTTATTATAATTTATATATAAATTTATAGTTTGTAGATATTAAGAATATCATTAAAAACTATCATCTGGCATTACGTTTATAATCTGAAAGACGATATATTTTGCTTATTCTATCATTTAATCGGAAGTAATTAGTTAATTTTTATCTTTAATATGATTCTCTGTGGATAAACTGAAAAATTACTAAGTAAACAGAATTATTACAGCTTATGTGAAGGATACTGGGAATGATATAGAATGCATGAAAGTGGTTTGTGAATTAATAGTCTATTTAATGGGACGATGTGTCATGGTAAGTTGGGTACGCTAAGACTCACAGGGATAAAGGAAGACATTGCAAAATAAAAAAAAAATATATGATGTACTTTCAAGACATCATCAAGTGTCTTAACGGATTTCTTTTTTATTATCTTGGAAATGACGTGTTCTTTAGAAATATGATTCTTGTGTATTTTTATTATGGTTTTTTTGAATTGATCATTTTCCTTCTCTTAGAGTGGTGTTGCTAAATGTTGGAAAGTTAAGATTACTTTCCCCATAGTTGCAGGAAGATGATTTGATATTCTTAAGCCACCACTGACCACAAAGTGTATTTGTGCGATAGAAAACCCAACAGTATATTCAAAATTCATAATAAGCCTTGCAAATCTATTCAGCATTATCATAAGTCAGCGTTAGCATATTTGTATAAAACATATAAATCAAACACTTAAAATTATTGTTGTTAGATAAAATGTATTTGGCCCTTTGATATTTAAATTCAACAGAAATGAATCCCCAGCTTGTTTTGAAAAAAAATGGCAGGGATTTTAATCTTTTTACGATTCAATAATTGAGCTGCAGAAAAAAAGTTCGATTTTGAACCAAGTCTTATTCGCAATGAAATCTGGACATATAACAATAAGGTGGAATGGGAAAAACTGTACTGACAAAACGGCTCGCCATAACAAAAACCTAATTTTCATCTAAAGATTCTATATGTATGGTGTCAAAATATTTATATGTTTATATTGTAAAGTGCGTCCTCCATTATCAGCTCCTTTCAGAAAACCAAATGATTAATGCAGACAAATACATTTCCATGATATATTGAATGCCCTGGTCTGGAAACTTTTATAAGATGCGGCGTAAGATTCCATCAAGTTCACTCTAGTCTAGTCGACTCTTTGGACAGCTAGCCTGGGAAATGTTCAATCATTCGCAATATCCAGGCGATATTGCACATACGGATTATCATTCATGCCGATGTTTATATAATTCCATTGATGAATAAAAATACCAATTCCCTGAAAGGTTGCAAAAGGATATAGCTGTCCATTGTTGCAAAATTAAAACAATACTTGGGTGTATAGAAACAAGAAATTTCCTGAAAGATGACAGAAAATAGTGTAGGGAAACTACACATTGATATTTCAATTGTTTTGATATCGAAAAAAGAATGTCTTTTATTTTTGCCTCATTCATAAAATGCATTATTTGACTATAAAGGATATTAGCATTTAATAATTAATTTTTTTTTATTCAATTTCAAAATAAATTTAAATGAAAACAAACATTCAAAGCTTTATTGCGGTAAGAAAAACTGTCTCTCAAAAGCGAAGCAACGTATTAAGAAACAAGAAAATTTCATTGCAAACAAGGGAAAAAAGTACTGAATTGTTATGCAATATCAGTCTTCCCGGGAGAGAACATTCTTCTCCCCCCCCCGACTCATCTCCGTGACAACTCACTACAAGGCTACTCAGCACGAAGACGCTCCCGTCGAATATAGCTTCAGTCCGGTGATGGCCATCATAGTGTGCACATCTATTAAATCAGATTTCGTAAGTTGTCGTAGATATTTCGTGAAGGTTGACTGCTTATCTTAGAGATCTGTTAGCTACAACAGCCTTTTGACGGACTGATGTATAATTTTTAAGATCGGACAAATAACCATGATGGAGCAGCAAATAAAAAAAAACTGCACACAGCGTTGGGGACGACGCGTTGGGACGCAGGGGCGGCAAAAGGTGCAAAAAACCGAGATGCGTTTTTTGAGCAATTAATTGGAAGTAATCCCCCTCCCCTAAATTGAAGAATATATGAAGGCAGATGAATGAATTGTGAAGTTTGTTTCTTCTTTTTCACGACGATCTCCAACTAAATATTTGAGGGGAATTGCATATATTTTTGGATAATATCTTAAATTAAAAATAATATCATGTATTAAAAAATATACTTTACTAATTGCTGTTATTTTTTTAAAAATGTCGACGAAAAAATTCATAGAATGCATGTCGTTGAGTTATCCGCGTGTAGTGTAGGCTGCTCGTTATTTATTGTAGTTGATTTGTCATGAAGATGAGGTGGCCAGTGTTGAGTCGTCGGTGTTGAGTCGGTAACGTTAAGTTAAAACATGTGACACTCATAGGAAATACCGAAGTAAAGAGGGTCACAAGAGTACAGCGAGTAATCTACATAAGTATGCGTCATTCCCTTCTTCGGTAAGTTGTTTTAAATGATATTCATCAAACCTCCGTAACATATATAAAATTACAGGCATATCATCGGTTGAGAGTGAGTATTACAACCTGAAGCGCTATGTAATTTCTTTAAAAAGACGTGAGGAAGTGTGTGACCAATTTTAAAATCTAAATTTAATCTATATTAAGTTTAAAATTAGAAATTAAATTGAGATTTTAAAATTGTTAATTTTTTACTTTTAATATCAAATTTTATCATATAATTTAATACTCATTGGTTAGAATAAATTCTATTTTAGTATAACACCAATTTTAAAGCTCTTAATAGCTATTATAACCTTATTTCATTGTCAAGTTTTTTGAATTCTCCTATACTTGTGTTTTGATTGGTCATTCGAGCTTTTGTAAAAGCGTTTTCCACTTACGAAGGATCGTTAATTAATTTGAAACTTTTAAAACCATTTATTTTACATTCAACATCATCACTTGATAAGACGCCGGAGGTGTTGAAACAAAATGGTTATTTTTGTAGAGAATTTATAGCATATTTATGTTATAATTTTTAAATGAATAATTATATATGCTCTACTATGTATTGAGCACTCTTTTAAGAATAGTAATTGTTGGTTACTGGAATGTATTCCGTATACACCAATCATATACTTGGGTACACACACACACACACACACACACACACATATATATAT